TCTGGTGATAATGTGAGATGACATTACGCCCCCGACGTGACAGATGAGGTGAATGACAATACATAACAAGCGCTTGCAGCTTCTCTGACGCGTGTCCACATTGCCAGCACCAGTATTCTTGAACTTTGGCTCCATTTTGGAGTAAAATAAAGATGACTTGAACACAGGCGCTGCGATGCCGGGACAACCTGATGACCAGGATGGCTCCTGCCGGCTACGCTGGCACATGAGCAGCGGGGCGCCTGCAGGGCCAGGTGCCGGGCGGAGGGAGAGTCACGTCCACGGCCGCCAGCGGGATGCGCCAGATCTCATCGCGCTGCTCAGATGGCCCGCAATTTAAAACATGAATTGTTTATTCCTGGAATTTTTCATTCATTATTTTCTGACCTCGGTTGACCACGGGCTAACCAAAACTTCGGAAAGTGAAACTGCGTATAAGGAACTATTGTACTAACTGTAAGAGGTGAATTATCTAAATTACCTTGAATATACAAGTCCCACACATGGGGCACAAGAAATAAGGGTCTGTGCACACAGCAGGTGCTTCGTAAGTGCTACCTGACCTAAGGCCCCTGCAGCCTGTGTAATCTACAGCATTTTACTCCAGGGGGCCAACCTCGGCCTGGACAGAGGGCACTGCCTACCCCACTGGCAGTTCACTCCTCGCCTCCTCCCTCAGTCTGCCCTGAAGCTCGTTTATCTTGCCAAGAACAGCACTCAGCCTCCCCCACCCACCAAGCCAAGACCCCTGAATTCCATCATTTTGCCAAGACTTATTGCTAATTAAGTGAACTAGGTAAGCATTAAATTAAACTAGCAGTGTTGCTGTTTCCCCTCCAGACTGAATAATTACTCATAATGACCTCGGATAACAAGTCTGTAAATAACAGTGAGTTAACCATAATTGGGCTAAAAATTGAGAGAGAGAGAGAAAGAGAGAGAGAGAGAAAGAGAGAGAGAGAGAGAGATTGTTTTTACTTTGGAAAGGATTCAAAAATAAATTCAAATTATTGGAAGGAAAGAAATTCTTAAATTGNAAGAGAGAGAGAGAAAGAGAGAGAGAGAGAGATTGTTTTTACTTTGGAAATGGATTCAAAAATAAATTCAAATTATTGGAAGGAAAGAAATTCTTAAATTGGTGTTGTTATAGATTCACAGACTCATGGAATAGCAGGACCTCAGAGCTGTGAAATAGTTTAAACTCTATTTCACAGATAAGCAACTGAGGCTCAGAGAGGGAAAGAAATTCACCTGAGGTCACACAGCAGAGAGTGAGTCTCTGAGAGCTATGAGCAGTTGGGTATCACTGGCCGATGGAGGCTAGTTTCTCAGTCCAGCTCATGAGGGGAAATGGAGTAAGGTGAGCTAAATTGTCCACTTTGCTCACATCTTGGCAGAGAGGCTTTCTCAGTCAGTAGACGGGACAGTGGTTAAGAGGTTCGACTCTGGAGTCACACTGCTAGGGTTCGAATTCCTCTTCTACCACCCAGAAGCTTTGGGTAAGTTCATCCATTTCTTTAAGCCTGTTTCCTCACCTGTAAATGGGGATAACAGCTACTTACCTAATAGAGTTGTCATGCTACAAACTCACTAAATAGTAGCCGCTGCCACCGAGACCACCATCACCTCCATTATCACCACCACCGTTCTCAAGCTTGGGATGAAAGGCTTAGGAACGCCTCTTCCATAAACTTGTGAGGCACGTGGGCAAGCCGCTGGGTTGCTCAGAGTCCTATCTTATCCATGTGAAAAATGGACCAATCAGGCCTTCCCTTGGGTCACAGAAGAGTTGCAAGGATAAAGGGTAAAAATCCATGCTAGCGGCTTCCACAATTAGAGGAGCTTCATCATTTTGCTGTGCTGTTCAAGGCTCTGTAGTGGCTCCCCACTCAGTTCAGGTGCCCTTTACCCAGGTTCTTCATGACCTTCACCCTGACCTTGGGATGCCTCTTCCACTCTGCAGGGGCAACCACATCCCTCCTGACAAGCTCATCTAGTGAAACGGGAGCTTCCTAAAGCTTCTTTACAGACCACCACCAGGTGGCACTCCACCACCCGCCTGCTGTCCACGGACAGTAAGACGTGAGTGTGCGCAGGGGAAGGCGGGGTAAGGGGGCCACGCAGTGAAATCCTGAGTGACTGGACCTTGGTGCAGGTGTGTACGGCTCATCTAGGGGTGACGAAGCACTGGAGGCCACGTGGCTCCTCTGTCAGGCATATCTAAGTGTGAAACTCACTCCCATCACTTGCCCACGGTGAGACCTTGAGCCTCCCTGAACCTCAGCATCCACATCTGGAAAATGGTGTTAACTAGCTCATGGTGGTGTTGTGAGGACAAATTAAGAGTAGGGGGAGTAAGAGAGCACGAAGGAAGTGTCAAGTATAGGGTCTGGAACATAGTAAGTGATCAGTAAACAGCTATTAAGGGCCCTTCTTGGTTGGTTCTGTGGAAGGATGAGCACACATAGGTCAGAGCTTTTAGAGCAGGGAGAACTGTCCAAACCTGGTTGTGCATGTGCATCTCCTGGGGGTCCTGTTAAAAGGATAGCCCAAGTCCTACCCTGGACATGCTGAACCAAACTCTTTAGGTACAAAGACCAGGGAGCTATCACTGTTATCACTATGAAGTGCTTCCCAGCCAGGCACGACCTTAGAGTCTGTTCCAGTCCCAACCCTCCCAATTTGCAGGTAGAAAAACTGAGACCTAGAAAAGGGAAATTACCTGCCCAGGTCCACATAGCTATGGAGTAGCAGGTGGCCTGGCTCCCTGTACATCCTGTCTGTTGTGTCTCTGGCAAGGGCAGGGGCCTGACGCACTAGTCAGAGCTGGCCCGGCAGAAGCCTGACCACTTGAGCCCTTCCTGTAAAACTCAGAGGTTCACCTGAGCCCCCAAAGGGAGGAGCCTATTTATTCACAATATTCCTCATAGAACTCACTGTTGAATAATGATATCGTATATTCCATGCTTTCTAATCATAAACCTGAAGTGAAGGCTGGTAACCTTCCTGACAAATGAGACAGGTTCAGAGTGGAGAAGGTGGCATTTCTCAAGGTCATCTAGCTAAGAGCAGACAAGCTCAGACCTTCCATTTCTCAGGCCCAATGTTCTTGTCTAGTAGTACTAGATGCTGCAAGCGCCCAGCCCAAGAACCACTCTAATCTACAATGTGTTATATTAGTCTTCTCTTGTGTTGAAATGACTTTTAATTTTTAAATTAAATGAAAAATTAGTCGATTTCCTATAAAGTATAGAGATTGCCAGTTTTTCTGTAAATCTGAAGGTTCAGCAACACAGAGCTTAATATCCCTGAAAGGTCTTACTTGCCAGAGCTGAGTAGAAGCCGTAGCTGCTAGCTGGACACTGGTTTCAACACAGTCCCCACCACCAGCTGGATTCACTTATGTTACCTGTCTGGTCCTGGTGGGCATTTGGACTTGAGACTCCTGTCAAATGCTATGGCCTTTGTGCTGAAATTCAAGTCACAAGGTCTTCCCTGCAGAACAGAGAATGAGGAAATGAGGGCTTGTAAGGTTCTTTTCCAGGTACTTGGTGCCAGAGGTTCCCAGAGCCAACCTAGAGGGGAGGTGTTTCCCAGGGGATGCTCCAGGGGAGCCTCAAGCTGGTTCCAGATCTCTACCTTCCCAGATGGGGCTCAGAGAACCCTCCCAGGTCAGAGCTTATTGGGGGCAGACGGATTGAGCTGTAGATCACCTTAGCCTGAGGCAGACATGCAAGCAGCTCTGTTTCTGTACTTCTGCTGGTGAGTACACTCTGAGAGGGCACCGGCCACTCTGTAAACCAGGAGCACTAACGCCAGGCAGCTCTTTTCTTTTATGAACCCATATCCATTATTCTGTCATGTCTTCCCACCAGGTGAGCAGGATGGCTATGGAGTCTTTCACTCACTCAAAACCCAAGGCACCATGGGGTGGCAGGGCAGCTCCAGACGGCCTGGGCTTGAATTATGGCTCCTTCCTTCACCACTGCTGTCCTTAGGCAAATAACCTCTCCTTGCCCCATTTTCCGATCTGTAAAATACAGCTAATAAAGTTCCAACCTTGTAGGGTTACTAGGATGATTATAGGAAATGCCCGCAAAGTCCTTAGTATGGTGCTTTATACACAGTAAATGCTCAGTAATGCCAGTTGCTATTAGTGCTACCATCACCAGGCAATGATATTCTGTATATCCTACTGGGGAGAGATAGCTAAGGACACATCATCAAATCAAGTACACAAATTAACAAGATCATTTCAGAAGCTTTTAAAAGCTGTTTAGAAAATAAAATGATAGTGTAATTAGGGGGTATTACAAGAGACCTCTTTGGGAGGTGACATGCGAGTTGAGGTCTCTTAACCTTGGCATTATAGTCATTTTGGGCCAGATAATTCTTTACTGTGGAGGCTTTCCTGTGCACTGTAAGACGTTGAATAGCATCCCTGGCTGCTACTTGCTAAATGCCAACCACATCCCTCCCCCAACTGTGACAACCAAAAATATCTCTAGAAATTGCCACATGTCCCGTGGGGAGCAAAAATGAGCCCTTCTGAGAATCACCAAGACAAAAGAGAAGAGAATTCAGATGTGAGAACAGGTGGCTTTGGACAGATGGACTTGGAACCAGGAGGACGTGACGAAGCACAACCTTGACTCTGATGAACCCAGGCATTTGCAAGGTTGAGCCAATTCCTTAAAATAAATCCCACTTGCTATATATATAATGAATTCTGTTCCTCTGGAGAACCTCGATTCAGTGGAAGAGCTGGGATGTCAAGCCTTACTCACTTCGGCTGCCCAAGTCCCCAGGGAGGCCCAGCTCCAACCCAGAGGGCCAGGCCCAGCTCCATAGCAGCCAGTTCTGCTGTTGCCCATCCCCCACAAGCTCAGCATGAATGACGTGTGTGTGTGTGTGTGTGTGTGTGTGTGTGTGTGTGTGTGTGTGTGTGTGGAAGGGAGTCAGGTACAGCTGGCTGAAAGACTAGGAACAGAACTCAGAGACCTAGGGCAGGTGACATGTTTATTGCGGGACACCTTTTTCCGGGGGCCCCCTCACAAGCCCCCAGCCACAGAAAACAAACACAATAACTTGGAATCCAAACCAGTCGCACATAAATAGGTTGGCCAAAGGAAGAGAGAAAAACAAACGAACGTGCAGCTTCCCATGCGAGTGTGACAAAGTGGCAGCACCAGACCCACGTCTAGTCTCTTCTTACTCCGTTTGCACGTGGAGGCTTTGTCCTGCTCAGAACATCACCTTCGGACCCGACTCAGCAGCACGCCGCTGTCCTGGTAGCCACCTGCCAGTCTCCTGGACGGGCAAGTGAGTAATAAAACCAACATGGTTTCTTCTTAAAAAACAAACAAACAAATGTTTCCGTGCTTCTTTGCACCTCCCAGTTCTATTGGGTGAACAACACGCCCCCTGACCCCAAACAAACAAACAAAAACCCATGCTGAGCACAAGCCGCGAGTCAGAATAAAAACATATTGCACATGCCACCAGAGTGGTCCTGAGAGCCCCATGCTGCAGATACCCCAACACTGGCCTTTGGTCTGGTGGTGTCATACGCATCCCCACTCCCCAAATCCAGCTGGCATTAAGCACACATTCCACGTTATTACCCTTTGTTATTAGCCAAACTCAAAGCCGAGGCTGGTTTAACCTCATGTACTAGAAGCAGGTAGAGGGAGGTGGGGATGTTGGTTTTAAACCTTTGTCTACCTTTCAACCTTTTGCCTCTGGGTGGTTACATAAGTTCTACAGGTGAACTCAGCATCCGACGTGTGGAATCTCCTGGAACCGAGAGACTGGCAAGTGGCTCTCCCCAACCATATGCTTTTGAAAAGGGAGCTCTGCCATCACCCACAGGTCGGTCACAAGCAGGGGTCAAGGCAACGGCCCGCGCGTGGGACCGGCCGTGGTGGTAGTCAACATCGATTTCCTCCTAAGGAATTTTCAAGTATCACAAAATCCCTGATACAGTGTGTAAACAAGACTTCTTGCTGAACAGAAAGCTAGGTCACTTCGGGAAGCAGCAGCATGTGAAATGTCTAAAAGGGTGAGTAAGGTTTTAGGTTCGACATTAGAGGCAAGAGAGCCGAGCACGGTGCCTCAGAAGGCAGACGCCCAGGCGTCACACACACACAGGCCCCTGCATGGAGCCAGGGGGACAGAAGCACCCGCTGGGGTCCTGAGAACGCGTCAGGCTGCCCTTCTTCGGTGGCGTAGCTGCCATCGGCAGAGAACAAAGGAGTCTTCAATGCTAAACACCAGACACGCTCGTGGACCCGTGTCTGCATCCAGCTCCCAGACTCCTGGCCTCTTTCCAGGAGTTTCTTGATTCTCTGGGCCCCTGCTCCAGGGGACGGCTGTGGAGCCATCCCCTTGCACCCCAGGCACATGTGGAAGATGTTTTTCAGGGGAATGCTCTTGGGTGAGGTATCTCATTGACTGTTTTGCTCTGGGTCCGTTTTATTTAAAAAGAGCACAGACCCTCTCTAGTCCAGGGCTGAGGCTCTGCGGAGATGGCCTCCCAGTCGCCGTGCTCTGCTGAGTTCCCCTCGTTAGTGTCTTCTTCCTCTGCCTGGGTCTCCAAGGCCTTCCTGGGTGGCCCAACGGGGCCTTATCTGTCGAAACAGCCCGTGGGGAATGTGTGGCTCCCACTGAAGTAGCTGCTTCTGTAGGTGGTGGCAAGGCAGTGCCTGGGCTCAGCTGAGAGGGCCATCTGCATGCTGAGGGACGTGGGGAGGGGCACAGGGCACACGTCCAGGGGCTGGAGGGAGGGGTACGGGGAGTGGAGAGATGAGCCAGTGCCCCCTGAGAGCAGGCTCCCCGAACAATGGGCCTGCAGTGAGTCCCGATACGCTAAACACAAGTCCTGCACGGGGGTCTGGAACTGTGCCAGGGCCACAGGTGTCGGCTGGCCAAGGGTGGGGTAGGCAGGTGGCTGAAACAGCATTTGGGTGGGGGCTGGGGATGTGCCGGGCACCATCGCCAAGGCCTGGCTCTTGACTGCGACGGCATCCTTGAGGACATTGTCATAAGCTCTGAAAGGGAAGGACCGGGGTGAGACTCAGAGGTTAAAAGCAGACAGCTAAGAGAACCTCTATCTGCCTTGCTAGGTGGGATCTGTGTGCTGTTCCTGCTGGACCTTGCCCAGTCTGTGCTCACTGCCTCCAGCTTTGCCTTCCACATCAGGAGGCCAAGAGGTGACTCTTTAGGGACCCAGCCACATGTTCAGTGGGGCAGAGCATCTAGGAGATGCTGCCACCTGTCAAGCGGAAAAGGGACTGTGTACAGCCAGGTAGGATCTTTCTGTCCTGTCTTCTTCCCTGAGGTCACCACTGAGCTCTTCCACCTCTGATGTCAGTTTCATGGTGTTGGGTCTATGATGCCTTTAAGCATCTTCTCTGACACACTGAACGTTTTCTCCCCGAGATTCCCAGGGATCCCTGCAAGAAGGTGTTGGGTCTATGATGCCTTTAAGCATCTTCTCTGACACACTGAACGTTTTCTCCCCGAGATTCCCAGGGATCCCTGCAAGAAGGTGTTGGGTCTATGATGCCTTTAAGCATCTTCTCTGACACACTGAACGTTTTCTCCCCGAGATTCCCAGGGATCCCTGCAAGAAGGTGTTGGGTCTATGATGCCTTTAAGCATCTTCTCTGACACACTGAACGTTTTCTCCCCGAGATTCCCAGGGATCCCTGCAAGAAGGTGTTGGGTCTATGATGCCTTTAAGCATCTTCTCTGACACACTGAACGTTTTCTCCCCGAGATTCCCAGGGATCCCTGCAAGAAGGTGTTGGGTCTATGATGCCTTTAAGCATCTTCTCTGACACACTGAACGTTTTCTCCCCGAGATTCCCAGGGATCCCTGCAAGAAGGTGTTGGGTCTATGATGCCTTTAAGCATCTTCTCTGACACACTGAACGTTTTCTCCCCGAGATTCCCAGGGATCCCTGCAAGAAGGTGTTGGGTCTATGATGCCTTTAAGCATCTTCTCTGACACACTGAACGTTTTCTCCCCGAGATTCCCAGGGATCCCTGCAAGAAGGTGTTGGGTCTATGATGCCTTTAAGCATCTTCTCTGACACACTGAACGTTTTCTCCCCGAGATTCCCAGGGATCCCTGCAAGAAGGCTGTGGCTTCTTATGTTAAGCCACTCTACTTTGTAGCCACATTGGAGAAAGCAACTTACAATGATAGTCCCTCAATGTGATCATCCATAAGAATGACTGATACAACCCAAAATAAGAAGGACCAACTCCCCAAACTTCAATTCTATCAGGAGGCACCATGGTCCATGTTACGTGAGACACTAGCTGGGGAACCCACCATAAGGCTCAGACTTCAGGAAATCGCCTGAATTGGACATCAAGACAAGTGGAACCTCAATATTTCAGAACCATGGAAGGCTTGGAGGGGAACTTACACCAGCAGGATTTCGATGCATGTGCTGAGATGTTCCAGGGAGTAGTTTGAGATCCTCTGCAGGTCTCTGGTCCAGTAGGGAGAAAGCTGAAGGCAAATTCTAGAGGCCCCAACGCAGGCGGCAGCGACCACGGAAGGCTGGAATTTGTAGAAAATATGATCTGAAAGAGAATCAGAGGCAGTCAGCATCACAAAGCCTCGCCTGGAGGCCCGGTGCCCTGCCTGCCTTGTGCCCCCTAGAATCGGTAGATAAATGATTAGGTTCAAGGCTGTTCGTTGCTGCGTCCCCCTATCCCCCCAAGCTCATGATGAAAAAAGAGGGACCACCATGAAAATCTTAAACACTCTGGCTCTCAGTCTAGGATTTCTTATGTCAGCCTAAAGCAGTGATTTTCAAAACATGATCAATGGCTTCTGCAAGGTGTTTGCTGATGGGCTACAAGATATTTGTCCTTTCTTTGGTTATTAAGGGTGAATGATATGCCATTTCAAAGGCTACCTGTTAACAGCAACAAAGTCTGGACCACAGTAGGCACTCAATAAAAATTTGTCAAATAAATGAATAGACGAATGAATGACTAGAGCCGTTTGATTTCACTCAAATTGGCCTAACTGAAGTGAGATGAACAAATACAAATTGTACATGTAAATAAGGTGAACAATGTGATGCTTTCATCTATGTAGACCCTGTGAAACGATCTGAGAAATGCTAATGTTCCACTAAGATATCTTGAGACTTTATGTGGACTTGTTGGGAGGTTCAAATGAGATAATGTATGCAAAGCACTAAAATAAGGTGCCACATGACCAATTTTGGGTTGTGGTGGGGTACTGGGTGGTTGTACGAACTGTATTTCTGACCTGGTATTTTACCTAACATCTAGATTTTTAAGACACTGGGAAGGGAGATTCAAACAGAAGTCCCTAAACAGGGTAACTTAACCACTAAAGCAGATGTAACATAACCACCTCCCCCACCCATCTGTGAGATGACAGCTCTTTCAGACTGACCTACCTGCAAATCTGTCCTATTTAGATCATCTGCAAGCTGCAGGTTACCATAAGAAACATTACCAGGTGACCAGTTAAGTTTGTAGAATACCAATGGCCCATACTAAGCAGCTATTTCTCTTTTACACATGATTGGTAACAAACACACTGGGTGGATCCTTGTTTCTTTTTTGTTTATCCNGTGGCCCGTACTAAGCAGCTATTTCTCTTTTACACGATTGGTAACAAACACACTGGGTGGATCCTTGTTTCTTTTTTGTTTATCCCTTGCAAAGTGGGAGTGATTTGGGTGGACGGGCTCCAGTCAGTAAGGACTCCCTGGATGGGCACACATGCCTCTTGGTGCCACCCAGTCCTGGCCCCTGGGTGGGTGGGGAAGGGGTGACAGGTCCTGACACCAGGCCCCACCTTGCAGGGTGACCTCTAGGAAGTAGTGGGCGTATTCCTTGAGGCACTCTTTGGTCTTTCGGGGGCAGGTGGTGGGCCAGCTGTGGCAGTGCTGGTCCTTCTGGCTGACGGAGGCCAGGAGGTAGTAGTCTAGGAAGTGGGCGGGCGTGGGCAAGCAGAGGTTCCAGCTGAAGGCCTCCAGGAGCAGCAGCTCCGTGCTCAGGAGCTCCTTCTTGCTGAGGGTGAAGTTCTGGCTGCTCAGGATCCTCGTGCTGTTTATCTGCTCCAACTTGGGTACGTGGTCTTCCCTGTCCTCGAATTTACCTGTGGGAGAAGCAGGCAGAGGTTACTGAGAGACAGCAGTCGCCTGCATCCAGGAATTCAGTAAAGGTCCACCTTAACGTGCCTGGAAGGTCCTGGCAGGGAGTACAGAAAGCCAAAAGGCCCGCTGCTGAGGGAGTATGAGAGTCTACACTGGATCTGTCACACCCAGCTCGAACCCCCAAGCCATCACTTCCAGCTGTGTGATCATGCACAGGTATGCCACCCCCTCTGAGCCTCAGTTCTGTCATCTATAAAACGGAACCTAGACCTCATAAGGCTTTTGTCAGATACAATTACAAAATGCACACCAAATGTTCAGACCAGCCTGAGGAACACAGGCGGCCTCCCACAGCGGTCAGCAACAACGGCGAGGGCCCGAGGAACGAAGTGGGCTCTCCCATCTGGTCATGACTAATTCACCCCAGGACTGCTCAGAGGCTCAGGTCACAGTCAGAATGACCCTGCAAATCTGTCCCCCACAGATGTGGAAAAGCCCTTCAACAGCTCCCTATTATCCTCAGTTTTGACTGTAAGCTGCATCAGTGGGTTTTTAATTTGGGTCGTCCCTGAAACAGAGTGCTTGAGGGGTGAGCCTGGGAAAGACTGGTGGGTGGGAGAAGACGGGAAAGGGAAGAAAACCCCAAAGGGTACTTTATCAAGCGTGTCACCACTGTGGACTACGGGAGCCTATCCCTATGAGGAATTCTGAGAAACAACATAGAACAAGAGCCTTGGTCAAGGGAACCAAGGCACCGACACGCCAACCCTTGGCGGTCATCCTCAGGACAGAGAAGCAGCTGGCGGCAGCTGGCGGTCGGGCTCACTGAGGGTAAAGGTGCCGGGGCCGTGGGTGGGAAGTGGCAGCCTCCACTGTGGGAGGCCCTGCAGGTGGGGCCGCTGGGGACCTCCCAGCCTTACACCCCTCACTCTGGGGAAACCGCGCACAGCTGGCTGGGGCTGTCACTGCAATCCTCTGAAGGCACCGTTGCTCTCCTTGCCTGCAAGCTTTGTCTACACAGCCCCTCTGTCCAGAGGACCCTTCTCCTTCCCCACTTCACTCAGCTAACCTCACCCTGTTCCCCACCTTGAGTCACTGCCCCTTGGAAACCTTTCTTGACCAGTGCCTTGTACTGCCCAATCCCACATCAGATGGTGACCCTGTGTCCCAGCCCCGCCCTGGTCATGTGTGGCTTCCAAGTCCCAGAGGAGGCAGCTGTGCTCAGAGCACGTGTCTGTGCCGATGAAGGGAANCCCCACTGGGTGCAAGGCAGCTGCTGAGAGAGTGTCAGAGGAGGCAGCTGTGCTCAGAGCACGTGTCTGTGCCGATGAAGGGAACAGACGACAATGTGGCCACACACCTGTGCACGACCGCCAGCGCTCATGACCCAGTTCTCATCAGGCTTTCCTGCTTCCCAGGGGAGATCAGGAGGCAACCACCCCAGGCTGCCCTACAGCAGATACGACACAGTCCTCAGGAAGGCTCAAGAGATGTCACAGAAATGAAACACTGACTCTGGAAAGCCCGTGTGCCCATATTCTCGGCGATCCTGACAACACTCACAAGTGGACGAAGGTGGCATGACATGAACCTGGTCTTTGACAGGAGGAGCTGAGAGGGTGGAAATGTATATACAGCATGGCGAGGAGCGGAGCCAACTGCTGACTGTTCCCAACAGCCTACGCCCCCAGCCCCATCTCCTTCCAGAGCCTATCTATCTAACACTCACCTCCCCTTGTCGTACACGCAGGGGCAACTCAGGTAAGCGAAGGCCAAGGTCAACGCTGCCCAAGGGGGAAGAGAGCCTCTGGTACAGCTGAAATCCTGGGGTGGGGCCTGGCTGAACCCCATGCCCTCCATTCTCAGGCACAGGATCCAGCCACATGGAACTCTGACCCTCCTCCAGCGGGGAGTGTTTCCCCCCGAGCATGTTACACCTTACCATGTGACCTCCAGAGCTCAGTTCAGAGGCCACTGGATGTCTCACCAGGGCACTTCTCACCCTCAGATTGCTTGTTTAATATTGAGTATTAATATTCCTGGACAGCAGGTCTGAACCCCAGGAGGAGAGGAACCACGTCCCGCCCATTTGCTGCTGTGCCCCCAGGTCCCAGCACAGTCCCTGGCACATAAAAGGTGCCCAATGAATATTCATTGAGAAAAGGAATAGTTGTCTCTGGATAGTGACATTTTAGGCCATTTGAATTGTCCTCTGATGATCTCTGATGATCTGTATTCCCTACACCTTTTTTCTACGCTCATGTAGTCTTTGTGATATTTAAAAAGAAACAATATATATATTTTTTGCAAAATTGTCAAGGTTTTCCTGAACCTTGTACTGAACTGGGCCAACACTGTTCACAGGCACTCTACAGATAGGAGCTCTTTTCTTCCCAGGAGCAGAAGGTGGCACGGGGAAGGTCACAGTCTTGGCAGAAACGTGCGCTGTGCTAGGGGTGGCACTAAGACCCTTTCATGGCATCGCTGGCAGCCAGCGATCTATTCCGACTGGCAGATGTGCTCAATCAGATTAGTTTCCCCCCTGCCTTTGGTGCTTTTCAACCTTTTCAGAGCTCTGCTTGCTCCCCAGCCACCAGGCCCAAGAGGATTACCCTGAAATGGAAGGCGCCATGGTTACCGAGGAGTCTGACTTCACCTGCTGCTTCTTGGGGACCCACCATGCTACAGGCCAGAGCCAGGCAGAGGGGGGTCTGAATCCTCAGGGGGTTGGCTCTGAACGTACTGGCACTAAACTCCAAAGGCCCTCATTTCCCACCTAGGAATGTGCCCCAGGTGGAGAAAGGATGGCCAGGCAAAATGGGATGAGCTTAGTGCCCCGCACACATTGCTGCATGGAGCCCTATGCCAGGCCGGGCACTGTGCTCTGTGCTGGACACACTGGATCCTCCCAGGTGGGTCCTGTTCAGATCCCCAGAGACTCAGAGAAAACGCTCGGAGAACTCAGCTCCACACTTAGGAGCGACCTCACAGCCCCTGGCCAGCCACCCCCCGCTTGGCAACTATTCTCCAGCACAAAACATTTCACAGCCAGAAAAGATTTTATGAGTTTCCTGGTGTTGCACGTGCCTGGCAGACATTTCCTCCCCTCCTCCCATGACCGTGAGTGGGGCCAGTCCTTTGTCCTCAGCGCTGCCACCACCAAGCCCCGCCACTCAGCTGCCTGCTCTTTATCGACAAGACAAATGACACAGACAACAGATGCCTGGAAGTTTTCAGGCAAGTCTCCCGGGAGGCACGGGGGACAGAGGTCCGAGTTTTTCCAAGTCAGACAAGAGCCACGGATTCTCTTCAAGTTGTTCGATTATTTGAAAAATTTTCAAGTCCACAGAAAAGATGAATGAATTGAGATGACCCTTCACCCAGATTCACTAATTGCTTGACCCATGTTTGGGGTGTGTGTGTGTGTGTGTGTGTGTGTGTATGCGCACACGTGTGCAAGTGTTTATGTAACTATTGGCTCTGCTCGATCATTTCTAGTTAAATTGCAAATGTGACATGACCCCCTAGACACTTCAGCATCTATCCCGAGGTCATTTTCATACATAATCATAATGCTATTAGTAATCCTAAGAACATCAGCATTAATGCAATAACATTTTCTAATATTCAATCCATATCTGACTTTCTGCAAGGGTCCTGAAAAATGTTTTTTTGTTTTTTTTAAGATACAGGATTCATCAAGGCTCACATAAGGTGCCTGTTATGTCTCTTTAGTCCCATTCTCTCTTTGTTTTTCATGACACTGATTCTTTGGATGAATCCAGGCCAGCTGTCTTGTAAAAAAAAAAAAAAAAGACTAAAGACTGACCTTCTGGACTGTCTGATTGCTTCCTCATGATCAAACAGTTTGGGCAAGAAAAACTATAGAGGTGAGGTTTTGATGTTTGTGCTTCTTACTGGATCACATCAGGAATTACATAATGCCAGTTTGTCCCAGCAATAGTGATGCTATGTTTGATGGTTTGGTGATCTCTCCATTTTAAAGGTACCATTTTCTTGTGAAATTAATAAGCAATCTGTGAGGTGTCACCTTGAGATTCTATGAATATCCTGTTTTCCAAAACCCTACAGTGGTTTGACATCCACAGATGATCCATAATTTCCTGAATAAATTACACTGAGGTTGAAAAAAATTTTTTTTAACAATTGTATCATTCCATCTACAGTTTTCTTTTTGGATGTTCACATGGCCCCACATTTGAACAGTCAGAGCCCTATCAACATTTTTTAAAATCCTCACTGGAGGATATGCTTTTTAAATTGATTTTTAGAGAGAGAGGAAGGGAGAGAGAGAGAAACACTGGTGTGAGAAATATCGATCGGATGCCTACCCTACACACTCAGACCTGGGATTGAACCTGCAACCTAGGAATGTGCCCGGACTGAGAACCGAACCCACAACCTTTTGGTGCATGGGAGGATGCTCCAACCAACTGAGCCACCCAGCCAGGGCCCTATCAACATACTTTTAAGATTAAAAAAAATCCTAACCCTATTAAAGCACTCACCCTGGATCCGGAAGCCCAGGCACACTCCTGGGAGCCCCTTGTGTTGGTGGCTGGTAGTGATGGTGAAACCTGCAAATGACGCCTTTTCAGACCCTCTGTTCACCCAGCTGAACCACTGCTCGCATCGCGCCCAGCGGCTGGTGCACAGAGAGCCCGGGCGATTCTTGGCAGGTCACACAACTAGTGGACCTAAACTCCTGACCACACACTAGGCCATGGTGGCAAGGCACTGTCCATCCAGCAAGCTGAGGAGGGATATGCATAGACTGGCTTTTAACCATTTTTAACTATATAGTTCAGTGGCATTAAGTACATTTACACTGTTGTGCAATCAATCTCCAGAGCTCTTTTCATCTGGCAAAACCGAAACCGTATACCCATGAAACAATCCCTCCCTTCGCCCTCCCCCACCCTGGCAACCACCATTCTACTCTCTGTCTCTCTGAATTGACCACTCTAAAGACCGGCTTTTC